CGAGGTCAATCAGTCTATTCATTCCTTGAACCTCACTTCTGATTAATAAATGTCACTTCACATATGAAATGCTTTACTTCCTTTTAATTCATTTGCAGTGATGTACTTGCTCTTAATTTATCTGAAGTAATTTACTTCTTCTTAATCCGTCTAAAGTGATTTACTTCCCTTTGGTCCACTTCTGAAGTGGTTAACTTTCTTTCAAATCACGTCTCAAATAATCTCAGTTCTTTTATTAATAAAAAATAATAACAAAAATATAAAGCAAGCACAAACAAACACATGATTTTAAAAATGAATTTTCATTCAAGGAAGAATTACAAATTGTTTCAATGTTTTACAAAACTTAAAAAACAAAAGTTCTCTGCTAGAGAGGTGACTGCATTGGCTCCTACTCAGTTGGAGGAGGTGGCTGTGTTGGCTGCTCCTCATCTGGCAGAGGAGGCTGCTCATCGTCAGAAGGAACTGGATGAATCTCTACTTCTGGAACTGGTTGGCTCTCATCCACTTCAGCTCCCTCCACTCCTGCCTCCATCTCATCTTCCTCTACCTCTGCCCCTTCTTCCTCCACTGCCACGAACTCGAAGTCGAACTGTGGAGGGAAAACAGCACGCTCGTTTGCATCATCCTCCCACCTCAGTTTGATCTGAGGACGGAAGTCTGCTGGCATGCTTTCACCATCTTCCTCCACCCCTTCTTCTTGCTCTACGAAGGTGATCTTCGTAATATCCACTTCGGGATATTCTGCCTTCACCTTCTTCCTGCAATCCGTGAATGCAATGATGACAGTCGGCAGCCAGTATAAGTTGACGATGTTGTCAAACGAGCTGGAGCTGATGAAGTTGCTGATGTGCTCCTTCATCCCATTGTGCACCAAGGTCTGCACATTCCCCTTCAGCTCCAAGAAAGCCTCCTTCGTCAGCTTTAGTTCTTGCGCCTGAGCCTCACGCTCGCTTTCAGAGATCTTTCGTTTGCTCTCTTCAAAGCCGAGCGTGGTGCTCAGGGAAGACCTCTCCAGCTCCAACTGCTTCACAGTTGGAACCACCTCGTCCAACGACTCTTGCAAATCTTTATTTTTCTTCTCCAACACTTCCTTCTCCTTCTACAGTTGGTCTCGCTGCCTCTGCAAGAGTGCGCGATCCTTCAGGCTTTCCCTGAATTCCTGGACTAGACCATTCACCCAGCTCGCGCTCTGCAGATCAAAACTGAAGTTAAAAACAACATTGAACGAGGAGAAAATGAGGCAGGTTCACTAAACAACATTACTACTTTAACTTACCTCTAGAACGTGCTTCACAACAGACGCTCCACCATACCTCAGAGCTTCTTGTCGCGCGTTGCTTTGGTCCACCTCGGGGAAGGTGTTGTTGATGAACCACCTGTCCCCCGTTATGTTCTTCGCCTCGAACATGCTGCTCTGAGGCCCCAGTGGGGGAATAGGCCCATTCCCTTTACCAGGAGCTCGTACCTCAGCCCCCTCCTCTAACTGTCTGAGCTCAGGGTCCAACTCAACAAGAGAAGGCTAAGGTACGAACTCAGGAACCTCATCCCCCTCATCCTCCTCCACCACCTTCTGCTTCTTCTACAATGCCCTCCTCTCTTCCCAACCCTTCCTCTTCAGCGGCGGCACCTCCTCCTCCGTCTCAGCTGAAGCCAAAGGCACCATCTCCTTCCTAGCCCTCCCCTCATCCACTTGCTTGGTCGAAGTCTTTGACTTCTTCATTGGCTTCTTGGGGATGGGCACTCCTCCAGCAATATTTAAAAACTGGTCCATTTCAGCTGCAAAGCAAGAAACACAATATTAATCACAATTCTATGTTCTACATTCAACGCTACAGTGCATGTTTCACAAACCTTCACTCAGAGCGCTTGGCCCATAGAGCTCAGTAGCTTCTATGCATGCTGCGCTGGTGAGGTCCATGATATTCAACACATCTCCCCCCTTCCTCACCAATTTCCTCACTTCTTCCTCCTCATCTTCATTTAAGCTAAACCTATTCTGGTTGGCCCTTTTGGCCTTCCAGGAGGCTAACTCCCTCACCTCGGTATCCCCCTTCCCCCACTCCGTATCATCCACAAAAAAGAATTTTTCCTTCCATCCCTTAATGGATGAAGGACCTGCAGTGAATAAAATCCTACTTTCCTTCTTAGCTACCCTGGGGGTGAAATAATACCACCCCTTATCCCTCCTACTTCCCCCCTTTAAAACAAAAAAGTACTTAAACATATTTACAGTTGGCACACTAATCCCCTGAGCTCGGCAATAAACTAAAAAACCTATTATTGCCCTCATTGCGTTGGGAACCAACTGTGTCAACCCCATGTTGTAATCTAATAGTAAACCTATTAGCAACTCAAGAAGTGGAAACCTGAGTCCCGCTATCAAATAGTGGGAATACACAGGCATCCAGTGATCTCGAGGAGCAGAGCACGCCCTCTCCTCTACCCCAGCTGGCCTAACTAACACTCGAGACGAGATTTCGTAATTTTCTACTAAGTGACCCAGGCTATCCCTGGTCCTTAGCCCAGATCTGTACTGCTTCACCTCCTCCACTATTTCTGCATTCACATCGTAATTCCTCTCTCCTCTACCCTCTACTTCTACTACAGTGATAGGTATGCTATCTACCCTAACCCCTACCACCTCATCCCTCCCCACCTCTACCACCTCTCTCTCCCCAACCTCCACCCCCTCATCTCCTCTCACCCCCTCTACCGTTTTCTCCGAACTAGTTGGAGATGGACTACTCTCTGCGTCCATGCTCCCATAGTCCAAAGGCATCACCTCACTCCCAACTACACTTTCTGCTCCTTCTGAGGACATTTTTTCAAACTCTGCACGAAGTAGGGGGGAGGAATAAATCAGGATCCCATTAAAAAAAAAAAAACCCCCCCTTTTTTTGTTGCACATTCAAAATCCCTCTCATCTCTAACCCTAACTTCCTTCAAAGAACTCTAAATCAATCACAGAAAGGGAGAAAGGAGAGAAACACTTCGATTAACTTAAAATCAGAGTTTCGTCTACATTACCTGATTTCGGTTTCGAAAGACTTGATGTAGAGTTCCCCAGTTGATGCTGCAGTTCACGCACCGGAAACGCACAGTAAAGCTTCTCGCAGAAGTTTTGCAGGAAAACAAAAAGCAAGTAAACTTCTTTCTGCAGAAAAAATGCCTATTTATACTTCTGGGCAAAATTAGATCTCAACGGATGAGACTTGTTTAATCTTACGGTTCCTGTTGACACCGTTTGGAATTCGATGGACAATCCCAAACGGTACCATTTTGAACTTGACGGTTCGTTTTTAAATTTGCCCGTTTAACTGTTGCAGTTATCTTTTTACGGCCGCATTTATTGCGCACGTCGTTTCAAGGACAACTGTCACACGTATGTCAATATTTTGACACTGGCCCATTTACGCCCATCTCAACACCCTTGTTCATTTTTATACATTCTCAATTTTGCAAGTGTTTCACCTCGACTTCGACCACAATA